TGACTTTCCTCCTGTCCCACTATTATGCTCAGTCCCCACCATGGGTTCAGCAATTCCTCTTTGTTACATTACCCTTGATCATGCCCTACCAGGCCTCCCACAACCTCCTCACCACCACTTTGGATCATTTGTTGTTCTCTTGTCCCTGGGTTTGTTAACACCACTTCCTTTCCCCCCACCTCCCTCTCTCCCATGTCCCCTGGAACTGTCGGTCCCCTTGTTTTCTCCTCCAGATTGTTCATCCAGCCTATCTTATTTAGACAGATCTGTGGAGACACCAACATGCACAAAAACAAGACAGAGCAAAACCAAGCAACAATATACAACAAAACAACAACAAACCAATGACAAAAAAACAAATCGAAACACAAAAGAAAGAAAAGCTTGTAGCTAGTTCAAGGACTGTTTGTTGGCCTTTAGGAGTGTTTTCCAGTCCAATCTGTTGGGGACCATGCCTTGGCCCCAAAGTCCACCTTCAGCATTCCCTCAGAACCTTCCCGCTCCATTCCCTTGCTGTTCTGTTGCACCCTTTAGTGTTTTGTCTCGGTGTGGCGGGATCAGATCGAGTACAATTCCCACACTGTGTCTCTGGTGTTGTCCCCTGTAGGGTTATGGGTCAGTGAGGGGCGTCATGTCTCATAGTGAGGCTGGCCATGTAGTCCTCTCTGTGGACTGGCTGCTCTAATTGGGATCATTGTCCTCAAGGCTTGGTGGGCCAGGATGTGCACTACTCTCTCCTCCTCCCACTTCATCTGCTCCCATGTGCTTTGATCAGATATGTCCCTCTCCCAGAGCAGCAGATTCAATGCCGTCTTTTGAAATAAATTCTTCTGGGGGGAGGGGCAGGTATCTACTTAGTATTTGGGATTGGGGCCGGACCCCAGACCTCTCTACTTGTTCCCTACTCCACGCCGGCATGTTGCATTCACATCTTGGAGCACTGGGTTGAAGTCTTGTTCCTCTTTCCCTGTGGAGATATAAACAATACCCTCCCCTTGGGTGGGTTAGTGCCCTGGCCCCCGCTACCCATTTCTTTATTATTATTATTATTTTTCCTTTTTCGTTTCCCACCTCCTTTATAGTTGTCTACCATGTGTATCCCTGTATTTGATCTGGTCCCTCGTTTCCCCTTCTTTTAGCCTGAGAGCTAGTAAGTAGTCTCCCGCTCTCAGCCTCGCCTGCTAGGGAAGGGAGAGAAGAGTGGTCCACCTTAGCAACTTCGTCTGCCCCCGTTGCTGGCCCTGAGCCCTCGGAAGTAGAAGAGGGTCTCCGTGGGCCAGCCGAGGTAGTGGGAGGACCTTTGGACTCCAGGTTTCAGTTGGCTAGTACGATCAGCATCTCCCCTCCTCTGGCCAGCAGTCCCTCGCACACCCTCATTCTGACTACAGGGGGAAAATACTTGGAGGTGTAAAGCTGACTAGGCGTCTCTGAGTGGCACTGATAGTTAAGCAGTCGACTGTTATCCAGAAGGTGGTTGGTAGTGGGTTCAAACCCCGTTCTCTCCCTGCTAGAGATGCCTCTGAAGACAGGTCTAGCGATCATGCAAGAAAGGCCCCAGCCTTGAAAACGCTTGGTGCGGTTTTGCGCTACACACACACCCGGGCGGGCGGGTGGGTGCCACGAGCCGGAATGGAAGGAAACTAACAATAACAACAGAAAGGTGGCTGCTCTTGACTGGGCCCACACTGCATGATTGATCATCATCCTGGTCCTTCCTGGGCAGCACATGTATCCCTCATCCAGCCTTGCTGGCTTGAGCCTGGCCTGTCATTAGCAACGCAGGGGAAGGGGAGAAGGAAAACTTGCTGTGCTCTTGAAACACCGCAGAGAAGCAAGAGCAACCTCGGGCTGGGGCGACAGCTGTGCAAGTGGACAGTGACACAGAGGGCGTGGGCAGTGCTGTGCTCCCTCGGGGCCTAGGGGAGAGAGTGGAGCTGGGAGAGGCCATCTTGGGGAACCACAGACTGGCTCTGCTGCGTAACACCTCTCTCTGCATGGGCACGTTGGTGCTAGCTCCTGTTTTCTGCATGGCTCATTCCAGACGTAGACACTATTAAAAGTACAAGTAAATAAATTGCTCTGACCCCGCCCCCCCGACCCCCCCCAAAAAAGTCAGCCCACTGGGGACTCGATCTCTAGCCCATTTCCACATTGTATCTGCTTCTCTGTTGCAGGACCTTCGTATGAGCCAGCCCACTCGCCCACCAGCAGCGGGAAGAAGCTCTTTGCTCCGGTTCCTTTTCCTTCCGGCTCCACTGAGGATGTGTCCCCCAGCAGCCCCCTGCAGCCCCCTCCGCTCCCCCAGAAAAAGACTGTGAGCCGAGCGGCCTCTTCCCCAGACGGCTTCTTCTGGACCCACGGCTCCCCCAAACCGAGGGCAGCAAGCCCCAAGCTGAACCTCAGCCACTCTGAAACCAGCATCTGTGCCCACGAAGAGTCCCCCTTCAGCTACTCCACCGGCCCTGGCCACCGCCACCATCATGTCTTCTCCGCTTCTGAGTCCCTGGAGAAAACTTTCAAAGGCAGCAACGGCCCCTGGATCCCTGTCACCGCGGGGCTGGCGGGCAGCAAAAGCAGCTGCGGGAGCCCCAGCCTCCAGTGCCGAGGGCCCCCTTCCACCTCGTCCTCCCAGCTGAGCGTGTCCAGCCAGGCCTCCGCCGCCAGCTCCCAGCTGCAGCTGCACAGCCTTCTGAGCAGCATCAGCAGCAAAGAGGGCACTTACGCCAAGATGGGGGGCCTCTTCGCCCAGTCCTTGCTCCGCCTGGTCACCAAGTGTGAGGACCTCTTCATGGGCGGTCAGAAAAAGGAGCTGCACTTCAACGAGAACAACTGGTCACTCTTCAAGCTGACCTGCAACAAGCCCTGCTGCGACTCGGGAGATGCCATTTATTACTGCGCCACCTGCTCCGAGGACCCCGGCAGCACCTATGCGGTGAAGGTAGGCACCCTCCCTTTCCGCGGTGCTGTGCGCCGCTAGCTGCCCGGTCCTGGCTCTGCACAGTGGGGGCTTGAGCGAGCCGTTTCGCCTGTCTGTGCTAGATGAACAGGATTGGTGACAGAGGGTCTTTAGCACGTCGTGCTCCATGATTTCGCTCCCCACCTTGTCTGGGTAATGGTGCTGCCAGAACTCGTTGGGTGACCACACGTGGCATTCTGTGCTTTAAGGAAGAAGCCGTCAGTGAACTAGTTGGATTTTTAAAAAGTGATAGTAAGTTGCCTTTCTATGCAACCGAGAGCCATTGATTTGCTCAGTGGGTTTCGACTGGATGTCTAGTATATGCCAGGTACCTTGCAAAAATCTAGGTTCCTTCTGGGGCTTGTGCTCTATTGAAAGGGATGCACAATTAAGGTCACTATTCCTCACATGGTAGAGCTAGGAGGATCATCAGACTAAGAATAGCATTTACTGAGCGCTTGCTCTACAAGGAAACATTTGGCTCGGTGGTGTTGATGTTAGGTGCCACCGAGCTCGTTTGACTCCAGCGACAGAATGAAGCGTCGCCTGGTCTGCACCATGCTCCTGGGTGAGCCCGTGGATGCAGCCACTGTATCGATCCCCCTGGCCCGGGGCCTCCCCTTTTTCACTCGTCTTCCCCTTGACCAAGCACGATCCCTTCTCTAGGTCTCTCCTGACACTATGCCCACCGTACCCTCTAATCCTCACAGTGATTCTGCAGATAGGTTTAATCAATAGGAATCTATGGCTAGAAGTGAATAAGTAATTTACCCACAGTACACTGGTGGCGGAGATGGATTTGAACTCGGTCTGTGTGTTTCCGAAGCCTTGGCTACAGTTTCATCAGTAGAGGAAGCGCAAGTGCAGAGAAGTGACATGACTTGTTCTGATTTTGGACCCTGAAGCAGAGCTGCTGCCATACATCCCGTGGCACCCTGAGGCTCTGAGCAGGCTGACCGTGCGCTCCACACCCCTGGGAGCGTTGTGCTCTCTGCCAGGGATGCTGCTCCTTCCTGCCGCTTTTTCGGCATCCTTTCTTGGTGTCTTCTGAAGGCCTGAGGGTCTGAAACCCTGCTGTCAAGGCAGGCTGTTGGGGGAGGTCAGAAGGACTAGACAGTTTTCTGCAATCGCCTGCCCAAGCCATTCCTTTTTTTCCCACTCAGTATTTTGGAAATGATGAACTGAAGTAGCCTTGGTGGAATAACTGCTTGCTTACCAGCCAATTAACTACATATATATATATTTAAATCTAACATATTTAATTTATTTATGATATTTAAAATATAAATTATATGTCTAAGTTAAATATAAATATATTTAAATTAAATGTAATTAAATAGATGTATATATTTAAATGTCATTCTTAGGCAAGCAAAATTGTCGTTAGATGTTCCTTTTAAGACGTTCGAGGCTCAACAACTGTAAACTATAGATTAGGGAACCTCTGGTTTATATGTTGAAAGTGCTGTATATAATTACTTGCTGCCTTTCTGTGAAAAAGCAAGTGGCTACTAGAGGAACCTAATTGGTTTTTCAAGGCTGTAAATTTTTACAGGAGCAGATAGCCTCCTCTTTCTCCCTTGGAACGGCTTGTGGATTTGAACCGCCAACCTTGTGGTTAGCAGTCCAATGTTTACCCAACAGAATTGCCAGGGCTCCTAGAATGAAGAGTCTAGGGAGGCAGTAGGTAAGGGAGCCCTAGGGGCACAGGGGTGAAGCACTAGGAAAGGCCTGTGGTTTGAACTGGCCAGGGGCTCGGAGGGAGGAATGACCTGGTGCTCGGGTTCCTTGAAGATGACAGCCGAGGAGACCTGCTTCTGGAGCCGCTGTCCTTGTCGCAGTGGGTCACTGTGTGTTGGAACCGCCTCCAGGGCACCGCAGCAGCAGATGCCAGATGGGAGAGAATGCCAACGCCCTGACTGAGATTCTCCGCTTTTACTCGCAAACTTCATTTCTTCTTTGTTTCCTAAACCAGTAACTACAGTCACTACTTTCCTGGTCTGGGACAATTCCTTGGCACGCCTCAACCAAAATTCAAACCAATCCCAGCATTTCCCTCCCCATCAGGATGGTGCTGTGCCCCGGAGAAGGACAGGCGACAATTAGCCTGGGGTTACCAGTGCCAGTCCGGAGCCAGGGTTCTCCTCTCATCTGAGGAAAGGACCCCTAGTCAAGCTCCTCGAAGTGCCAAAGGATGGAAGTGCATGTAGGACGATCTTGGCGTTTGCGTGGCCCCGTGAATCCAAGAAAGTGACCGTGAATTCTCTGTCTCCACCTTCCTGTGTCTTAGGGCACCTATGGCTCTCACCTTGTCTCTTGGAGCTGAACCTGGGGAATTCATTAGGCATCGAGAGATAGATAACCTCCATTCCAAGGAGGAAGAAAAGTGCCTCGTGAAAGTTCTGATCGAGAAGGAAAGTCTTAGCTTAAGGGGCTTACTCCGTCCTCTCAATGGGATAAGAAGTGATTTGATTCGGCTGCAAAACCTAAGGGGCAGGATCACCTGGGTTTACCGCTGAATCAAAGCATCAGTGAGGTGTGTTGCTTTTTCCTATCCCTGAGTTAACTGTGCGGTGCAGCTTGGATTCCAGGGCCTCCGCTAACAATGCAGAGTTAATTCTATTCTCCAGTAAACCAGGCAGAAAAGACAGCTTTCCGGGAGGAGGAGAAAAACAAACATTGCCCCTCATTTCTTTAGAAATCTAGCAAGATGGAAATCAGCAGCCGGCCCCCCATCTTGAGGATCTCCTTTATGTCTTCTTGGACACTCAAGGGGCATAGAAACTCCTCTGTAATGAGAAAAGGAAATTGGGGGGGAGACCTGCAGGCATTCAGACTATGGTAATCTTGAGTCAGGATTACCAGTGAGAACAAGATCCATTTGCAAATATGCCCGGTGATGGCAGGAAGGGGGTGGTTTGTGGAGCGTCCTTGCGGCTCTTGCAGCTGTTCCGCTTCATTAGTGCCCCAGTCTAGACGGAATTGTCATTTGAGAGGCTGTACCTGGGGGGAGGGACACGGCCTCTTAGTGTGGCTGGTGGCTGAGCGCCTGTCTTCTGTGCATGCTAAGCATAGAGCCAACCCTATGCTTGAGTGAGGATGTAGCCTCGGTTGCAGTTTTCCGTTAACAAAAGCAAGCTTGCACCTGCCGACTCCTCTAGCTGGAGCCTC